GGATACAAACAGATGGAGAAACATTCCACGTTCATGGTTAGGAAGAATCAACATCGTGAAAATGGCCATACTGCCCAAAGTAATTTACAGATTCAACGCTATTCCCATCAAGCAACAATGACCTTCTTCACAGAACTGGAAAAAAACACCTTAAACTTCATATGGAACCAAAAGAGAGCCCGCATAGCCAAGTCAATTCTAAGCAAAAAGAACAAAGCAGGAGGCATCACACTACCGGACTTCAAACTATACTACAAGGCTACAGTAATCAAAACAGCATGGTACTGGTACCAAAACAGAGATATAGACCAATGGAACAGAACAGAGGCCTCAGAGGAAATACAACATGCCCACAACCATCTGATCTTCGAAAAACCTGACAAAAACAAGCAATGGGGAAAGGACTTCCTGTTTAATAAATGGTGTTGGGAAAACTGGCTAGCCATGTGCAGAAAGCAGAAACAGGACCCCTTCCTGACACCTTACACCAAAATTAACTCCAGATGGATTAAAGACTTAAACATCAGACCTATTACCATAAAAACCTTAGAAGAAAATCTAAGCAAAACCATTCAGGACATAGGTGTAGGCAAGGACTTCATGACCAAAATGCCAAAAGCAATGGCAACAAAAGCCAAAATAGACAAATGGGACCTAATCAAACTCCACAGCTTCTGCACGGCAAAAGAAACAGTCAGTAGAGTGAATCGGCAACCAACAGAATGGGAAAAAATTTTTGCAGCCTACCCATCTGACAACGGGCTGATATCCAGAATTTACAAAGAACTAAAGCAGATCTACAAGAAAAAAACAAACAAGCCCATTCAAAAATGGGCGAAGGATATGAACAGATACTTTACAAAAGAAGACATACAGGAGGCCAACAAACATATGAAAAAATGCTCATCATCACTGGTCATCAGAGAAATGCAAATCAAAACCACATTGAGATACCATCTCACACCAATTAGAATGGCAATCATTAAAAAATCGGGAAACAACAGATGCTGGAGAGGATGTGGAGAAATAGGAACACTTTTACACTGTTGGTGGGAATGTAAATTAATTCAACCATTGTGGAAGACAGTGTGGCGATTCCTCAAGGACCTAAAAATAGAAATCCCATTTGACCCAGCAATCCCATTACTGGGTATATATCCAAAGGATTATAAATCATTCTACTACAAGGACACGTGCACACGAATGTTCATTGCAGCACTGTTTACAATAGCAAAGACCTGGAACCAACCCAAATGCCCAACGATGATAGACTGGATAGGGAAAATGTGGTACATATACACCATGGAATATTACGCAGCCATCAAAAACGATGAGTTCACGTCCTTTGTAGGGACATGGATGAACCTGGAAACCATCATTCTCAGCAAACTGACACAAGAGCAGAAAATCAAACACCGTATATTCTCACTCATAGGTGGGTGTTGAACAATGAGAACACATGGACACAGGGAGGGGAGCACTACACACTGGGGTCCGTTGGGGGGAAATGGGGGAGGGGCGGGGGGGTGGGAAGAGATAGCATGGGGAGAAATGACAGATACAGGTGAGGGGACGGAAGGCAGCAAACCACACTGCCAAGTGTGTACCTATGCAACAATCTTGCATGTTCATCACCTGTACCCCAAAAGCTAAAATGCAATAAAAAAAAAAGAAAAAGAAAAAAATGCTCATCATCACTAATTATCAGAGAAATGCAATTAAAAATCACACCAAGATATCATCTTACTCCAGTGAAAATGGCTTTTTTTTTTTTTTTTTTTTTGAGACAGAGTTTTGTTCTTATTACCCAGGCTGCAGTTCAATAGCACGATCTCAGCTCACTGTAACCTCCACCTCTCATGTTCAAGCGATTCTACTGCCTCAGCCTGCCAAGTAGCTGGTATTACAGGCATGTGCCACCACACCCAGCTAATTTTCTGTATTTTGAGTAGAGACGGGGTTTCACCATGTTGGCCAGCCTGGTCTCAAACTTCTAACCTCACATAATCCACCAGCCTCAGCCTCCCAAAGTGCTGGGATTATAGGCATGAGTCACCACACCTGGCAGAAAATGGCTATTCTTAAAAAATCAGAAACAGATATTGGCATGAATATGTAGAAAAGGGGATCCTTATACACTGTTGGTGGAAATGTAAATTAGTTCAACCTCTATGGAAAAAACAGTTTGGAGAGTTCTCAAAGAACTAAAAATAGAACTACCATGCCACTCAGCAATCCCACCACTGGGTATCTATCCAAAGGAAAAGAAATCATTTTAAAAGGACCTGTACTTGTATGTTCATTGCAGTGCTAGTCACAATAGCAAAGTCATGGAACCAAACTAAGTGTCTATCAACAGTTGACTGAATAAAGAAAACATGGTTATACACACCATGGAATACTATGCAGCCATCGAAAGAATTAAGTCATCCTTTGCAGCAACATGCATGGAGCTGGAGGCCATTATCCTAAGGGAACTAACTCAGAAACAGAAAATCAAAAATAGCATGTTCTCACTCATAAATGAGAGCTAAACAATGGGTACACATGATGATGAAAACAGAAATAAGAAGACAGTGGGGACTCCAAAAAGGGGAGGGTGGGAGGCAGCTGAGAGTTGAAAAATCACTTTCTGGGTATAATGTTCAATATCTGGGTGATTAGAAGCCCAATCACCACCCTTACACAATATATCTATGTAATGAACATGTACATGTTCCCCATGAATCTTAAAAGAAAACAAAACCAAAAATAGATATATTGCTTCTCAAGATTTTATAGTCAAAGAACATTTTCACTGAAGGAGATTATTACCCCAAAATTCAATTCAATTTTATAATTCCATACTCAGCCCCAAAGCTAAAACAATTAGAAACTAATAAATGCTAGCTTTTATGAAAATACTATGTGGCCAGGCACAATGGCTCACGCCTGTAATCCCAAAACACTGGGAGGCTGAGGCAGGCGGATCACAAGGTCAAGAGATCAAGACCATCCTGACCAACATGGTGAAACCCTGTCTCTACTAAAACAATACAAAAATTAGCTGGGTGTGTGGGCACATGCCTGTAGTCCCAGATACTTGGGAGGCTGAGGCAGGAGAACCGCTTGAACCTGGGAGATAGAGGTTGCAGTGAGCTGAGATCATGCCAATGCACTCCAGCCTGGCAGCAACAGAGCAAGACTCCATCTCAAAAAAAAAAGAAAAAGAAAAAGAAAAGAAAGAAAGAAGAAAAAAAAATTCTATGTAAGGACATTTATCTAGAAATATTTTCAAGATAAAGGTACAACATTTGATTCACAAACTCCTTGTGAAGGCCACTACGTTGTCTGGTCTCTGTACTTGACACCAGACATTAACACGTGTTCCTGAAGAGGGAAAACAATTGGTGCCTATTCAGGCTATGCATCTATGAAGGGAGTTCTTTCTCCTCAAAGACAATATGTAACTATTCACATATTATCTCCACTTTCAAATGGGCAGTTCCCCACATGTGAGAATAGATCCACAAGACCCAAGGGACAATTTCTACATCTTTGTCTTGGAGGTCTCCAGCACTCAAGGGAAATGCTTCACAGATATAAACATTAGAAGATACCACTGTGTCACTGCACTTACTTGTATTCCTCCAGTCTTGTTAGAAACGAATAATTTGAAAGAGCTATTTTTACAAGATATACCATAAAATCAAGAGAAAGGACAGGATGGAATATAAACACAGAATTCAGTAAGATGTAACATATCTAGTAGTTGCAGACAGACTCATGATTAAGATCTCAAAGAATTTATCCAGAAAGTAATTTTCTTCAGTAGTTTCTTGATTTTTGTACATTCCAGAGGCTAGAGGTCTAGTAGCCCTGTGGCTTTATCAAATAATTACTTTACTTACCACCTCCTAACTTTGTCAAGAACTGAAATATTTCATACTAATTTATATGAATCCCAAGATACACTCATTAACTATGCAACCAGCAAAAACATAACCAAAAATAGCAGTCTTCTTTGAAATCTGTAATATGTTTTAGATTTCATTCTACATTCACATGCAGGGTAACTAATGGAATTCAAAGAATTTTACCTTTCTTTTTGAAGATTCAAATTTACCTTTTTCCTTGAATTTGATATAAATAAAATTCCTAGTATATAAATACAGTATCTTCACTTAATACTATGACCTTAATAAATAAATTGATAAATAACGGAAAAAGGCAACAGAAGGTGAACATATATGATGTAATTATTAAAACAAATGGCTGGGGCCAGGAGTGGTGACTCACACCTGTAATCCCAGCACTTTGAGAGGCTGAGGTGGGTGGATCACAAGGTCAAGAGATCAAGACCATACTGGCCAACATGGTGAAACCCCCATCTCTACTAAAAATACAAAAATTAGCCAAGCATGGTGGCATATGCCTGTAGTCCCAGCTACTCGGGAGGCTGAGGCAGGAGAATCACTTGAACCCAGAAGGCGGAGGTTGCAGTGAGCCAAGACAGTGCCGCTGTACTCCAGACTAATGACAGAGCGAGACACTGTCTCAAAAAAAGAAAAAAAAAAGGCTGAACCTTGTTTAGATCTAGTTGTTAGCATATGGTTAATGTCAATTAAATGATTCTATGCCCAGGCTTCTAATCTACCAATGAAGATAGAAGTTACCTCTGCCTCCTGATTTCTAAAAAGTCAGAAACTACTTTCCTTAATATCACTACTGGGGTAATCTCAATGCTGCACTCTAGTATTAACAGGATAAAGTTCTCTCTATAAAGCCAAGCTTAAAAAATTAAGGTTCTACAGAGTCTGGACTTAATGACAACTGTCAAATATTTATAAATCCTTAAAAGAATTCAATTATTAGTTGCGCAATTAAAACCAAACCACAGCAAATGAACTAGTAAGTTAAACATTTATTATTGGTAATCACCTATGGAGCATAGGTATTTATTATGGAAAGTCCTTCAACACTTACTTCATTACAAATAATCCAAACAGGCCATATCTTACCTTGTTTTCTGCATAAGCAAGCCAGCGGCTCCCAAGAGCAATAGGATTCATGTTTGGCCCTGGACATGGATAGCAGCCTGAAAAATTTCAAATGGCACTATTGAGAAATTTCTTAATAACTTTTCTACTGGTGCATCATATGTCGATGCCAGAAAAATAGAAAAATCACACACTTATATGTTTTCAAGTCTCACATAAAATTCCCATAATACTAGTCATTATTTTGATAATAAATAAGCTCATTTTTTTCCTCCTCTATTTCGTTTCTTTGGATTTTTAACTCTGTCCCAATAAGAAACAAATCTGGAAAGAATTGGTCATCACTTTTGGCAAACACTGGGCATTTTATACAGTTATTCCTAACCAACAGAATGAAGTTAAGAGGCGCCATTTTAAGTGTAACATTCATAAATCAAGGAAGGATTTTGGGAGAGGAGAGAGAGAGGATATGATGGGTTCAGGAATGTAAGGGCAAAAGATAAATAAGACTATCAGACATGATACTGTGATGGGGAGAAAAAAGTATTTAACCACATTGAGGCCAATGAGGACAAGTAACTCTGAACAGCTGCCTCCACAGAAAGATGATGGGGAACTGCATAATCTTTTGTATTTATATTTCACTCAATATCATTCTTCTTGCTTCCAGTTCTAGCCAATAAAAACAGTTAACTGTTATATGACATATATTTACCACTTATTTTCTATCTTCCTCCAACTTGATTAGAAGGATATGTAAATTAAAGAATTTGTCTGTTTTATTCACCGCTCAATCTCCCCTACATGCCACTTGACAGTCATTCTGACCATGTTCTTATCTCTGTGCTCAAAAGCATGAAAGAAGCATACCTTACTGATGCTTCCAGTAAACAGCCATTTTCAGCCCAGCTCCCTAAATTGCCATCTATTCTGAATTGTCATCTTAAAAATAAAGTTATAGAGAAGAAAAAAATAAACTTATAGAGAAGAGACAGACTCTAAAATAAAGTCCACATAAATAAAAGCTTTCTCATTTTATTGCTCACTTTTTTAAAAACTGCTCATTGATGCTACTGTTTGAAGGAGTATGTTTGCAATGCTTTGGGTTTCTGGAAAACAGACCTCAGGTTAACTGCAATATTACTATTATCTACTGAATGCGTATTATATAAACATATATAGAATTAAAATACAATAAAAAATTATACAAAGGCAACATACTCTACTATAAATTGTGTAGTATTTACACAATAGATTACTCTTATTGAGTAAATTAATCTTATTCATTAAAAAATATACTTTTGGCTGGGCGCGGTGGCTCAAGCCTGTAATCCCAGCACTTTGGGAGGCTGAGGCGGGTGGATCACGAGGTCAAGAGATCGAGACCATCCTGGTCAACACGGTGAAACCCGGTCTCTACTAAAAATACAAAAAATTAGCTGGGCATGGCGGCGCGTGCCTGTAATCCCAGCTACTCAGGAGGCTGAACCCAGGAGGCGGAGGTTGCAGTAAGCCAAGATCACGCCATTGCACTCCAGCCTGGGTGACAAGAGTGAAACTCCAACTCAAAAAAAAAAAATATATATATATATATATATAAGCTCATCTCCTGAATTAGCTTTAAAACTAAGTACTATGACTCTCAATCAATTCTGATAACCACTTTAACCTCATAAACACAAAAGGATCCTAAGAGAAAACACAGTTTACAATTCTTCATTTGATCTTTTGAGTCCATATTTTTAGAGTTCAGTGGACCTCAGGAATTACATTGTATTTTAATGAAAGCAACTGTTTTCCTGCTTGCCAAAAGAATGCTTCAGAGCTAGAATCAGCAGAACATAAGTCACTCAGCACTATCTCAAACTTACAAGCATGACTCCTTAAAGATTAACCTTTGCCTCTAGGTAAACTCTGAAAACAAGTAGTTGGGCAGACATGAATCTCTATAATACTAGGCCTACTTCTAACACATATACAATGTTTTTGAACAAAGAAAGAGAGAACTGGATGGTAAAAGAACTCATTTCCCAATTTTAATGAAGGTAAAAAATTTTTAGAAGCATGCTGTATTTTTCCATTACTAAAAAAGTAATTAAGAAGGCACACAAGCATGATGCAATTTTAGATGGTATCCTCCCAGAAAGTGCTCCGAATGGAGAGGAGACCTGAACTCGTTTAGAAAAACAAAAAGCTGAACTACTCTCTGTGACACTTTGCCTTATTTTTCCTGGCAAGGACAAAGAAAAAGTTTCAGCCCTTTAAATTAATTAAAAAAAAAAAAAAAGGTATTTACATTTATAGTCAACTGATTTTCAACAAGAATTCCAAGACAAGTCAAAGGTTAAAGAATTCTTTTTAACAAATGGTGCTGGGTCTACTGGTTATCCAAATGCAAAGGCATCTGGATGGGAATGAAGCTGGACCTCTATCTTACATCACATACAAAAATGGATCAAAGGCTTAAATATAAAAGTTAAACAATTAAATCTTTAAAACAAAATATTGTAAATTTTCATCACCTTGGATTAGGCAATGATTTCTTATATATGACAACAGAAAAACTGGACTTTATCAAAACAAATGCAAGCTTAACATGCTTTAAAGGACACCATCAAGAAAGTGAAAAAACAATCTAAAGAATGAGGAAACATTTTTTGCAAAAAATGTATCTGATAAGTGACTTATATCTACAATATAAAATAACTATTACCATTCAATATTGAAAAGTCAAATAATTCAATTTAAAAATGGAACAAGATATAAAAACAACAAATAAGCACATTAAAAATGGTCAGTGCCCATACAACATACCCACAACCATCTGATCTTCGAAAAACCTGACAAAAACAAGCAATGGGGAAAGGACTTCCTGTTTAATAAATGGTGTTGGGAAAACTGGCTAGCCATGTGCAGAAAGCAGAAACGGGACCCCTTCCTGACACCTTACACCAAAATTAACTCCAGATGGATTAAAGACTTAAACATCAGACCTAATACCATAAAAACCTTAGAAGAAAATCTAGGCAAAACCATTCAGGACATAGGTGTAGGCAAGGACTTCATGACCAAAATGCCAAAAGCAATGGCAACAAAAGCCAAAATAGACAAATGGGACCTAATCAAACTCCACAGCTTCTGCACGGCAAAAGAAACAGTCAGTAGAGTGAATCGGCAACCAACAGAATGGGAAAAAATTTTTGCAGCCTACCCATCTGACAAGGGGCTGATATCTAGAATTTACAAAGAACTAAAGCAGATCTACAAGAAAAAAACAAACAAGCCCATTCAAAAATGGGCGAAGGATATGAACAGATACTTTACAAAAGAAGACATACAGGAGGCCAACAAACATATGAAAAAATGCTCATCATCACTGGTCATCAGAGAAATGCAAATCAAAACCACATTGAGATAGCATCTCACACCAGTTAGAATGGCGATCATTAAAAAATCGGGAAACAACAGATGCTGGAGAGGATGTGGAGAAATAGGAACACTTTTACACTGTTGGTGGGAATGTAAATTAATTCAACCATTGTGGAAGACAGTGTGGCGATTCCTCAAGGACCTAAAAATAGAAATCCCATTTGACCCAGCAATCCCATTACTGGGTATATATCCAAAGGATTATAAATCATTCTACTACAAGGACACGTGCACACGAATGTTCATTGCAGCACTGTTTACAATAGCAAAGACCTGGAACCAACCCAAATGCCCAACGATGATAGACTGGATAGGGAAAATGTGGTACATATACACCATGGAATATTACACAGCCATCAAAAATGATGAGTTCACGTCCTTTGTAGGGACATGGATGAACCTGGAAACCATCATTCTCAGCAAACTGACACAAGAGCAGAAAATCAAACACCGTATATTCTCACTCATAGGCGGGTGTTGAACAATGAGAACACATGGACACAGGGAGGGGAGCACTACACACTGGGGTCCGTTGGGGGGAAATGGGGGAGGGGCGGGGGGTGGGGAGGTGGGAAGAGATAGCATGGGGAGAAATGACAGATACAGGTGAGGGGACGGAAGGCAGCAAACCACACTGCCATGTGTGTACCTATGCAACAATCTTGCATGTTCATCACATGTACCCCAAAACCTAAAATGCAATAAAAAAAAAAATGGTCAGTGCCCACCAGGCACAGTGGCTCACACCTGTAATCCCAGCACTTTGGGAGGCCGAAGCGGGTGGATCACAAGGTCAGGAGATTGAGACCATCCTGGCTAACACAGTGAAACCCTGTCTCTACTAAAAATGCAAAAATATTAGATGGGCATGGTGGCACGTACCTGTAGTCTCAGTCTTAGCTACTCAGGAGGCTGAGGCAGGAAAATTGCTTGAACCCAGGAGGTGGAGGTTGCAGTGAGCTGAGATCACGCCCCTGCACTCCAGCCTGGGCAACAGAGGAGACTTCATCTCAGGAAAAAAAAAAAAAAATGGTCACTGCCAGCCAGGCGCAGTGTCTCACACCTGTAATCCCAACACTTTGGTAGATCAAGGCAGGCAGATCACGAGGTCAGGAGTCTGAGATCAGCCTAACACAGTGAAACCCTGTCTCTACTAAAAATACAAAAATTAGCTGTGCATGGTGGCACACAGTTGCAATCCCAGCTACTCAGGCTGAAGAATCACCAGAACCTGGAAGGTAGAGGTTGCAGTAAGCTGAGACTGCACCAGCCTGGGTGAAGAACAAGACTCCATCTCAAAAAAAAGTCAGTGTCATTAGCTATCAGAGAAATTCAAATCAAAATTACAAAAACTTATAGCCAAATGATCATACCCAAGAGAACATATGTATGTCCACCAAAAAACTTGTTCACTAGTGTTCATACAAGCATTATCTACAACAGCCTAAATGTAGAAACCAACCAAATATCTATCAACTAATGATCAGATAAAATGTGGCATATATATGCAATGAAATATAGAAAAAGAAAGGAAGACCTGATAGATATTGGACAAGTGGAGAAAAACTGATTATATATTTACGGTCAGTGAAAGACACCAGTCATGAAAGACCACATACTGTATGATGTCCAAAAAAGATTATAAACATCTTCCCCAGAAAAACATACA